ACCTGAGGAAGCGAATAAAGAAGACCCTTAAATTTTGCTCATTTTCCTAAATACAACAAGAGGTGGTATAATACCGGTGTTTTTTCCTTGTCTTCGACTTCAGAAATACCATTTGAAGACATTTATATGTTAAATAATCTTAATTAATCCACTGAAGAAGTCCAGCCATGGTGTTGAATAGGAGCGTATGTGAGCTGATGAATCGAAACATTTCTTACAACTGACCATTTTTATGCATTTTTGCTGTGAAGCATTATAGCCCTGCTACGGGTGAACCAAAACGCATATTGCCGAGAGGCTCGGGGTGTGCGCGTTTTATATGTGTGTGCGCTTACGTGTGCATGCGCGCTTGGGAATGTGAACTCTATTACTCACTTTCATCTTAACAACCAGGAAACCTGGGAGGCTGAAATTTTGCGATTGTGCTTGCAGCACGCATTTCATCCCTGCAACCTGAAATTATCGCTCATGTTTTTAGATCGGACGTGCGGAAAACGAAGAGAAAATATGCAAACTTTGTTGTGGAAAGCGATTTCGAACACACAGAAAGCTGAAATTTCATACTGATTTTTCATGTGCATATGTGAGCTAAGAATTTCAAATTCGACTACCGCGCGCACCTACACTAGTGCTCACAATCACATCAATTTGCGGTTGGCACTGTGCCAGTTCGAAAAGTAGCCGGAAAACAATAATTGAAATGTTGTCAGAATTTTTCGAATTTTACATCTTGGCGCTAGATGCACCACTTCATTCATTTTCAGTTGTCGCCTACAAGTTTTCAACTGGATTAGCACATGCGTCAATTACTCGTTGCAATTTTTCGTATCTTTCCCTCTACACAAACAAGCGAGCACAGTACAGTCCTGCTATATTAACTTCTAAGCGGCAACAGACGATTCCTGCGTCTTAAATTTAAAAAAATTAATTTGCAACATGAAGTCGACAGTCAAAAATTCGCTTCTGCAACTGACTTTGGATGACGACTGCCTCCGGTCCCTAGTCATGTCCATGAACTCTGGACTTGCTAATACCCAGAACCGAGAAGTTCCTGCTGCTAGTGCCGAAATTCCACTTTTTTGCATAATTTCGTAGTTTCCTGAGTTAACTCTCGCTTCTTTCACTCCTCTCTCACTCTGTTTGGTCTTTCTCTGTTTTCTTCTTTCGCTTATCTGTCTTGCGAATCAGTTACATGGCTGTTCAGTACAAGGCAGGGAAGAGGCTGTACTGATGACTCCCGCTCCTACCCGCACGCATAATTCAGTCTGTGTTCACAGCTAAGGAATGAAACACAGAGACTGCATCGTAAAATGTCAAATTCTTTTATTCTACAATTTCCAATTGTTTATTGCAAGTAATAAGTGAAGCTGCCAAGCAATAAAAATTCGAAAAACAACAAAAAAAAGCACCAAACAAAGGCCAGAGATCGCAAGAAAGAATACTGAGGAAAAAGTGACGTTTCACAGTTGCTCTATCTGGCTACCTTATTTTAACGAACAGCACTGGAAATTTCACGGTACAGGAATATCAAAAATCATAAAAATACAACAAATGCAATTCGACAACAATATACGACACAAAAATAGACAGCATATTGTTATGAGCAGACCAGGATTAGTGAAAATGGGATAACCAAAAGATTCGAATACAGTGAAATTCCAACCTAAATCTTTGGCAACAACAACAATGTGGCGCTAAAATTTTGGCTACATCTTAGCACTCTTTGGCTAGAGCAACTTATCGCTACAATTCCAATCAAACTGGCCATGATGCTGCGAAAAAAAGAGGCTGGCTCAGCAAATTTTCGCCAATTCGAAAATTTCCAAAAAAAAAGTAGAAAAATTTTGGACTAACACAAAAACTGAGTCAAAATCGTTCAAACCATAAGCAAGCAGGAGCATCTTCATTCCATGTTAAGCAGTTCAAAGCAGAAAGACTTGGCCCATCTAATAACTATATCCCAGTAAAAGTACTAAAAACATGACCCATACCGTTTACTCGGGCATATCCTTGGTAAATGATTACATTTTTGATCAACCCCTCTCGTCCTCCCCTTCTCCTCTCTGTCTCAAACCCCCCTCCCTCCTTCTCTATCCCCAGATCAGTAGGGTACCTCAACAACATCTCCAAAATAGAAAAATTTTTCCCAAAATGATTCTGTTAAGAGAGCCATTAAGGCGACATCCCTTCAGAAGGCAAACCCCCCCCCCCTTCTCCTTCCTT